AATGTTCAGTGTTAAAAATTATGGGGGGTACTCATGCACGACCTATATCGATTTCAATCAATTCAAGACCAAAAAATAAAGAAACCATACTTTTACCTTATTCTACTTTATTTATTTATTTTTTCAAAAATTCAACTTAAGTGATAAAAACATATTAAATGTAAGTGAAAAAAATTCAGTTGGATCCTGAAATAGGAGAAATGGAAAAACGAGTTTTAGAAAAAAACATCGAGAAGGAGCTATTTTTGAAAGTCTTTCTTGCTTTCAAGTTTATGGTATTTTTCACGGCTTTCTAAAGTTACCGACATAACTTCTCCTCGATGCTTTTCTAGAACACGTTTTGATACGCCAGCCAGCAATTGAACATGTCTTTCCGTTGCCTGTATGTGTACCGGAATTTTCGGATCAGGCAGCGGTGGATCTTCGAGTGAATGGTGGTTCGAATATGATTGAATTATCATCCATGTCAATCATGTTGGTGTAGTCCGTTGCATTGAAGTTTATGTTGGGTTTTTTATAAACTCTCAGTTCCATCGGATCTTCTACATGATTCCGATAGTGTAAAATTTTTTTTATTGCAATGTCGCGGGTTTTCTTTTGCTCGTCAAATAACATCGCCAACAAAATATTTTCAGAATGAGCATAGTAGGCGTTTTCTTTGATGACCTTGTCAATGATTTTGCGTAAATTTGAATCCAAACATTGCGTCCAGCGAATGCAATTGAAAAAAAGTACACTACCGTATACCACTGAGTTGTAACGCTTAATATTGAAGTACATTGGCGTATACACTTTCATTATAAAATTGGCCAGAATTTTTAAATTTTTAGATGGATTATTAGTTGTCACATATAACCGCAATAGTCGACTGGCCTTGGTTAGCCACCGGGAATGTACAATTGGCCCTGGTTTGGTGTTAGACAAATCCGTTGAAACCTTACCAAAAGCAACTGCCATTGACATTTTGTACAAGTACATAGCGTCGGTAGTGAAGTCGGTAGTTAATTCAAGAGCACCTACGCCAGTCCAATTTTCCAGTGTGATCATCTCAAAATCGGTTACCGCCTGAAAATAGAAAAAATTAGATGAATTAAATACCGTTAAATACAATTTTCTCATTAAGAAAAATTGAAAATAGTAAATAGTAACTTATAACAATTACATACCGGAGAGTTTTCACACGTTTCGATTTGTTTGCTCAACGTTCCTGTTGTTGATCGTGGTCCAGTGGTGGATGATTTTTCCAAAGTTTCAAACAAATGTCGGAGCGGTAGCTCGTTAAAATGGAGAAGACACACAAACCAATGCAGTGGTCGGTTTAACTGCATTTCGAATCGTCGCAAAATTCCATTTTTTATTCCAGTATTTGTCGGCTCTCCATCACAACATATGCCAATCAATGAATCCAAAGATATTTCTTTATTGACGAAAAATTCATTCAATTTGATGACTTTGTGCTCCGAATTTTCATTTTCAACTTTTGCGTAGCCCAACAATTGTGAATTTGGTTCCTTCAAAACAACTAGATGAGGTTCCTTAACCATTCTTGGATGAAGTTTTTGATCGATTTTTTCCATCGTTAATGAATCATCTTTTCTGCCATCGAATGAAAATGCTATCAAGTTTGATGCATCGTATCGCTTACGAAGCACTCCTTGTCTCGATTTGGATTTTTCTCTGCGAACTTTAGATTTATCCATAATGACAAGATTACCTTTATCATCTTTTACACCAATATCTTTCATAAGCGATGTTGCCAATGCCGATGCAATTCGATCCGACACACCAAATCTGTCACACATCGCAGCAAAGTTCGGCGCATCATATCTCGGAGTGTATGGTCCTCGTTGCGTTGGTGAACCCACTGACGGTTCATCATCAATATCCATATCTTCGTTTGGATCGTATGTTTCATCCTGGCTGTCGGTAGCTGTTTGTATTATTGTAGAGGTTGGTGCTTGCTCTTCAATTTCTGTCACGTATTCCGGTATCGTAGATTTTCTTTCATTATGTTGATCACGCATGAACTCTTTCAAGTTGTCCGGAATCAATCCACATGAGCATAAAGTTGATTTCAAGTCGCATCGACATTTTCCAATATAAAATAATTCATTTGTGGATTGTACGAACGCTTCGAATGTTGAGCTTGTCGTTTTGTGTTTTTCTTCGTTTTATATTTGTCAAGCAAGTTATTCAGTTTTGTGACAATATTCCGTTTTTGTGCAATTTCAATATTAAGTTTGCTCCAAATTTCAATCAATTTGTCTGTCACATGTAGAGTAAATGTTTTATATGAAAACATTTTACCTTCGATTCTGGCACGTTCGGTCAAGAAAAAATAATATCTCAAAATATCTTGTTTAGTTGGAAGATTGAGATCATTCAAATCACTTGACACACCAAAAGCAGCAACATCGTGAGAAGGCATGTGTGTCAAACTACTTTCTTCTCTGGCACTTGTTGATGTTGTTGCGCTTTGTGATGTCGACGGCTGTTCTGGATCCATAGCTGATTTTCACTAAATGTTCTGAAATACAGATATTGAATCAAAATTAATTGTAATCAATTTATTTTGAAACGTTTGTTTTTTTTACAATTAAAAGTATTGTTTTTTCTACACAATTTTCTTGTCAGTTTGTGCGAAACCTAAACGACACACGCATTCGAAATAAAATATCATCAACACAGAATTTTGACTTGAAACAACACAGTTACAAAAGAACGAAAACACGAGGAGCAACAAACAAACAAAATCTCTTACATGAAATGTACACAAGCAGAAACGTTGCCCATACAAAATATTTGACGTATGTTTTTTTTCACTTAACCGTTCGCTCAACGGAGATGATTGTCATGTATTTAGTATTAGCAACGTTTCTGCTTTTATAGCGTATGATTTTTTTTCACTATTCACACACTTCGTTCACTCAACGGAGATGCTTGCCATGAGTGTTATGTTACATACATATATGAGTTTTTTTGTTTGAGTTTTATATGGAGAGACGGCAAACAACACTTTTTTTGTACAAAACAAAATCTAACACTATGCACTTCTTTTTTTCACTAAATTAATATTCATGATTTTTTAAAAAAAGTTATATCATATCTATTGAAAATAGCAATTTGTAATACATACCTTTTAATTTTCTTGATTAGTTTTCTTTTATGTTCTCGATTTTAATGATTCTAACTTATTTCGAAATGACGCTCGTGCGTATGATCATACCGGCTCAAATAAAAACGATGTCAGCATGAAAATGAAAATGCATGTTTTCATAAATGTCATTGTGTGAGGGCATTGCGTTCAATCTGTCACACAATATGTCGATAAACGGCATTACCAACATACTATTTTGAAAAAATACGTTATACGTATTTTTAAATTGAAATATTAGAAAATGTTTCTATGTTTTTTTTTCATTTAAAATTCATATGTTTTTATTTCTTAAATTGAACTAAAATAAATAAATAAAGTAGAATAAGGTGAAAGTATGGTTTCT